ACACACACACACACACACTAAAATACAGACTGTAGTGTGCATGTACTTTCGGTTACCAAATGGGCTTTAAAGGACTGACCTCCACAAACATATGCTGTGTTTTTGCAATGCATTAAAAAGATTCAGACACTCGCATGTTGTCAGGTAAACTGCAAACAAGATTAATAATTAAATTGTCTGAGCAGGATCAACTAAATTGCTTATATTTGTTAAATAATGGGAAGAGATGCACCTCAGTGGTCTTTGATATACTTTGCAGGTCAGGTAAACCCAATGTGTGAGAGTTCACACGTTTTATGCATTTATCCATTGTGCTGTGGCCATGCGGTGTAACTGCTTAATCTGTAGCTTTAAGGATCAAAGTTTGAGATCCCTGATGCTTTTTATGTTTTTTTGAAGCTTTCTTTGTATGTGAGCCTGAATATCCTCAGTGTAAGTGAGGCATGTGCCTTCGAAGCCAGCAGGTAATATTACATCCTAATCCAACTTTGTTGCGGCTTTCTATTCAGCATGCAGGTAAAATCAGATTAAAGGATCCCAGGCACAAATTCAAAGATGGCTGACAAGGTCTTATGCAAACTAGGTGTTAATATAGCTAATGTGTACCGCTATAAAGGTGTGTTGTCACTGTGCACCATAAGTTTAGAGACTCTTTAGATCAGCATGTGTCGCAAAAAACTGCAGGAAACTAGAGCTGCAATTAGACGATCGGCAGGGAATTCATGAGAAACCCTTTTAATGATGACTAAACTGAGGCAAAGTGAAACGGTAGCTTTATTCTAGATGCATTGCTTTTGTTTTTAAGTGTTGCTGTTTTTCTCTGTTGCAGTTGGGGGATGGCGGTCAACGTATATTCTACCTCAATAACCCAGGAGACTATGAGCAGGCATGACATCACGGCCTGGGTTAACGATCTCGTCTCTCTAAACTACACGAAGGTGGAGCAGCTCTCCTCAGGTGAGAACGGAAGGAAACGCATCTCTCTCCCCTCTCTCCTTGTTCCCTCTGTGTCAAAGTAGCCGTTTGAGATGGGAAGCGTGTTTTTAGGAGATTACATCTTCGCCTGTAGAGCACGGGGGGGTCAATTCATTCTGTGTAAGCTGGCAGTTAAAGCAACCTGTGGAAACATGCTCTCCTCTCTCTGGCAGAGGCTTGTCTATAAATACACTTGCAGCTTGCCGTGTTCTCCGGCTGTAACCAAGTAATCCAATTTCTAAGCTACTTGTTTGATGTGGATTACCTGTGTGTGCTCTCTAGTTGGGTTTATGTGAGTTTTATCTGATGGCTGACACACTGCCAGGTTGAGTTGGTAACCTCTTTTTAAAATGGATGAAGGTCTAACGAGGCGTCAGTTAATATTAGCCACGTTACCAAGTATCTGCATTAATAGTTATCTTTTTAAGGAAACCGGGTCAATGATCTGCACTCCCTCTTTCTTTTATTCCAGTGGATTTCTGTCGTGCAAAGTCATGTTAAATCCTGTCCTATATCTCGGCTCTAGTCTTCTACTTTTCGAGCGAGGGATTATGCACTCCACTAACATTTTGTTCCGTCTTCAGGAGCAGCGTATTGCCAGTTCATGGATCTGCTCTTCCCGGGCTGCATCAGTCTTAAGAAGGTCAAGTTTCAAGCTAAATTGGAGCACGAGTACATTCACAATTTCAAACTGTTGCAGGCGTCCTTCAAACGGATGAATGTGGACAAGGTGAGTCCCTTAACCGCACTTTAATCTGGTTCAGGGTATCTGCAGTTTCATTTTAAACTGCATGAATTTATATTTTATTCTCTTTTCCCCGCGCGATTCAGATTATTCCTGTAGAGAAACTGGTCAAAGGCAGGTTTCAGGACAATCTCGATTTCATCCAGTGGTTTAAGAAGTTCTTCGATGCCAATTACGACGGTAAAGAGTACGACCCGGTTGCAGCCAGACAGGGTCAGGATGCCATCCCCCCCCCTGACCCCGGTGAGCAGATCTTCAACCTGCCAAAGAAGTCCCACCATGCAGCCAGCTCCCCTACCGCAGGTAAGCTTCTCCTGCAGTGGAAAGGAACGGGAAGGCTATGTTTGGAGACACAAGGGCATGTTTTCACATTGATGTACCGGAGCCGTGGTATTATTTTCACATCAACAACTCAAGTGACTATTGAGTTCTTTCAATCTCAGAAAACACACAAATTGTGTAATTTCCTTGTGGGAGAATAACTTAAGTTGGTGTAACGTTGCCAGTCGTCCGTCCCTGAGTAATAAACCTTTTGTCTGCCGTAGGAGCGTCACGGTCGAGCTCTACAACCCCCAAGATCTCAACACCGACATCCAGACCTTCGTCAGCCAAAAAGATCCCCGCTATCACGACACCGATTCCTGCCAAAGGAGAGAAAGAACTGGAAGCACAGGTCACACATCTTACCGAGCAGGTACGTTTAGGAAACGCTCAATTCTGAACCCGTTATTCTGAAACTGACGACCAACAATCTGACCACCAAACTCTGTATTTACTTCACATTACTCACATTTCTACACTGACTTTGTTCACTTGTAAACTGCACTGATGGTAGAAGGGCTGCAGATAATGATTTTTTTAGATTAATCAATTAATCGTTTTATCTTTAAAGTTTCCGAAAATAATAAGAAATGCCCGTTGCCTGATGACGTGACGTCGTCGAACTCTCCAAAACACAAAGACATTCAGTTTACCATCATGTTGAACAAAGAAAAGCTTAAAGAGGCTGGAACCAGACACATGTTTGTCCTTTTGCTTGTAAAATAACTGAGACAATTAATACATTTATTTTTAAAAAGTTGTTGATTATTTTCCACTGATGGTTTCACCTCTGGATGGCTGTGACAGAGCGCTAAACATCATAAACTGAACAACATTTCTGAACACCTCCACTCTTTGATACTCTTGCACAAAAGGAAATGCAGCAACGTGTAAAATCATGATTCATTTGAATGTAGCCGGGTTATTAGTCTCTTATACCAAAGACTTCTGCAGCTTTTCAAGCCTTCACAACAACGACCATCTTGAGGTACGCCCGCAGCTTCTCTAAAAACATGTTGATTGATGCAGACCTATCCACGTAGATAAAGGCTGCAATAGCTGCCTACCGTACTTTTAAATATTTACTCAAAGTGAGCAAATAATAGTTTTTTTTTGTTTTTTTTTACTTTTTATTGATCTGTGTCAAAGTCTTGTTTACATCCACTGTGATGTAATAGTAGAAAAATACGACATGCAAAAGAAAGACGTCTAAATAAGTGTATTTTGCACTGAACACGACGGAGGAGATTTAAGATGTAGAGCTGCACATACACAATCCAGTGAAACAGAAGCCATGTAGAGATCCAACATGTTTCTGTAAACACAGCCAGTCGTTCTGAAAGTGAGCTGGAACTTGATTATGTGGTCAGAAGAAACCCCAAAGTATTGCATTTCAAATGCTACCAAATGAAAAAACATTGTGGTAGTTTTAATTTGACAACTGACTAAACGGATCAATAGATTATCTGAACAATGAGTAGATCAAGACTCCTCTCTGTGACTCATGCTTTAGATAACAGCAAAATCTGTTATTTGTCGAGTTGATTTTTGTGCGTATCTGTTGCCTTTTGTCTTTAACCAAAGTCCATTGTTTTGACGTTGATGCTAAACACAGTGTTGTGAATCTCCGTCCTGTAGATGAACACATTAAAGTCGGCACTGGAAGGCGTGGAGAAGGAGAGGGACTACTACTTCAGCAAGCTGCGAGAGGTGGAGCTGCTGTGCCAGGACCAGGGAGAAGAAAGCGCCCCGTTTGTGGATCGGCTAATGGAGGTCCTGTACGCTTCAGACGAACAGGTCAGTCCAGGACCCTCCTTTTGATCCGAGCAGGATTTATGGACAGTTGGAGGCTGTTTTGTTTTTTTTCTTGTCTGAGATAAGATTTTTAAATCATGTGGAAACATACTGTTTCATCATAACGTGCACCTTGCTCCGTTATATGCCTGTGCTCTCTCAGTAGCTCGCTCAATGTGACGTATCTTTTACTGCGCTGAGGATCGTGGGTCAGAACACCCAGAAAGTCACGCTGGCTTGCTCACTGCAAAATGTAACCAGATGCAGTGGTGCATCCTGGTATTTTTTTGGCATTCCTACCATGAATTGGGATATACTTAATCTCTTTCTGGCATGCTAAATACTGTGGTATTATGGGTATTGGAACGCACATTGAGTCTTTGCAGCCGGTAACAGACGGTTGTGACATGATCTCCGACATAAGCCTCTCTCTATATCTATATCTATATATATCTATATCTATCTATCTATCTATCTAAAAAAATATAAATAAAATAGAGGTTGTGTAACAATTCTCCTCATTAATGAGAGGAGGGAGTCTGTGATTTGACAGTGACAGGTTAATGATAATAAAAACAGAATAGCTAATAACTAAACACCTAGGGCCTACCTTCATAGATCTCTGTGGACATTTCTCCTCTTTAATTAATTGGGACTTGCTTATGGTTTTTCAGTCAACATTGGAAAGAACCCGGGAGGATTTTGAGACCTTACAGCCGGCCCGGGTCGGGGGAAGAGAATCGGAGCTCTACGTGGAGCATACTTCAGTAGTATTAATTTGTATTTTGTATTTTTTCAGGAGGGAGCAGAGCTGGCTGAGGGCGACGGACAGGAAGTGGACCAGGAAGCCCACGAGGAGGCGCCAGATGATCAGCAGGAGGAGCAGGATGAATACTGACCGCCATCATCCCTCACTGCAGTTACAACCCTCTTTTTAAATATGTGAGAACTGTTACAGGATTTTAATTTTTTCCTCATGGTTTATTTTTGTTCTCTCTCCAAGACTGAGCACATGAAGCAACCTCCTGAATAGAAGCACCGTCACAGTTTTTTTTATTGTTATATTTTTTTGTATCCCTCTGCTCACTGTTCGATGTTTTTTGTGACTTTTGGTGAACTGCTGCGGAGGGTTTGTGGAGACGACCTCCTCCAGCAGAACAAGCTCAGACCATCACAGAAGTTTCTAAAGGACTGTGTGTGCGCATGTGTGCGTGCGTGTGTGTGCGCGCGTGTGTGTGTGTGGAAATACAAATCCTACAGTAGACGTGATGAACCGCTGAAGTTTAGACGGGTAACTGTTACCTGCCAGTGCAAGTGTTAACTTCCCAGCTTCTTTCCTTTTTTTTAATTTTTTTTTATTTTGCATATCAACAATAATAATCACGAGAATGCAATAAGCAAAGCCCTGAAAGGGCTCGTAGTAGCTCTTATTTAACCTCCTTTTCATACGTTGCACTGACATTTGACTCTGTTTTGGACAATCTGTCCATCGACCCTCACCATATTATTTATTATTATTATTATTATTATTATTAAGCCTTAGGAATAGTGCGAGATTCTGCATTGTGTCCTCATGAAGGAGAACAATACAGCCAGTGAATTGTGAATACGATGTAGTATAAAGCCAAGTTCTGACTGTTTCACAACTGTCCTCTCAAATTTTCAAGATAATCAACGATGTTTTATTCACGCCGTACAAGGCAGTTAACTCTGTATGCCATAAACGTAGGGAAGGAAGAAACGTTATTGTGGACTAGTTTAATTATGATGCAGCATTTTAAAGTTTTTAACCTCGGCTGAAACTTGTGGTCTGTTCAGATTTCAGATGTTTTTTTTTTTTTTTTTAAGCCACAGGTCTTAGGGAGTCGGTTCACTGAGTAATTTTCCAGATATATTCCAGTTAGTACATCGTATACCCTTTCTTAATATTGCATTTACTAATATTGAACTGGGCAGTGCACCATAATGCTTTAGTTATATATTATTGTGTAAATGAAAAAGAATGTAAACATGTACTGTCAATAATTAATGAATGGTAAATGTTTTTTGTTTTTTTTCACGTCCCACTCATTATGCATTCCCCAAAAAACGTGTTGCATGTTTGCATTTTATTTGTGAATAACTTGACCTGCTTTTTACATATTTAATAAAAAAAAACTAGTATGTTAAGTGAGCTTTTTGTATGTTTAACCTGCTATTTGGAAGATGTTGAGATTCGGATGGATTTGCTGTAATAAAATTACGTTTCGAGTCCACGGGAGTGTTGTCGTGTCACTCCAACAGCAGCAACCAGCCCTGACCATAATTATAGCAACTCAATGATCTGCTGCAGGTGAGGTTAGATTCTATTTTTAAATTTAGGTAAATCCTTCATTAATTGGGTCGTGGTGTTCTATTGTGACCAGTTGTAAGATTATCAATTATAGTACCAAAAGTATAAGCAGTCAAAAGGGCAGAATGGCCATTTCCAGAATAATATACATAATATAATCAGCTGGTACGGGTGGAGCTAATTTAAAGTACTTTGTATACTGCTGGGTAACCTAATCCATAATAATACCTCATTTATTAGTTGATTTATGTATTAATAATCGGAATCTGCAAAGTAATTTTGTCAAATGAATGTAGTGCAGTAAAAAACACAGTATTTGCCTCTGAATTGTAGTGGAGTAAAACTATAAAGTAGCACAAGGATGGATGGATAGATAGATGATATAGTTACTTTATTAATCCCACAAGGGGAAATGTTTTCACTAAGGCAGCATTTATGCTACAGATAAATCAAATAACAGTAAAAAATATAAAAATTAAAATGCACAATATATACAATGAATCAAACAAACGTGGAAATACTCCGGTGAAGTACAACAAGTACTTCAAAATTGTACAGTACTTGAGTAAGAGTACTGTACTATAGCTACCTTCCACTGATGTAATTTTAAATGAGAAGCTCACACACACAAACACACGCACACTCACACCCGGGCGGCCTCCGGGCCACGCTGTTGAACAATGAAACGCACCCCTCTTCTCTTCGGATTGAGCAACAGATGAACTCTGTGTTCTGCTCGTTAGTTTGCAAACTAGTGAGTTAAGCAACCACCGGCAAACCGCTACTGCACAACGACGGGTCAACACAAGACATGTAATGACATAGCGTTGTGTGAACACACGTGTAACTTACAGCTGTGGCTTAAACTCTATTTTATTCTGTCGCCATGTCTTCCAGAAAGGTAAGAAACCAGCCAGCTAGCTAGCTAAACTGCTAGCCACTTTATGCTAACATTTAAAGCTACAGGCTAGTTAGCTTTTGGCTGAATCTGCCTGTTTACCTGTCATGACATGTATTAACTGGTTTATTACTTTCCCCTTTGTAGCGTAGAAGATGCTACAAGGACGTAAAGTGTGTTTTCTTCCCGGATGATGTCGTAAACCAAGTGGGGAGAGAAGCTCCATCACTTTCATCTGCGTCTAAGAGCTGGGAGACGTGTGGAGACAGTTTTGTGGACACTCCAGTGATAAAGGTCGATAACAATGAGATGCATATAATCATATAATACTCGCATTACCTTAAACTCTCATGCATTATTCCCCCTGGTGCTCTGACATTGTTGTTGATGGTGTTTTTGGTGCAGAATCTCAAGACTCCAGGGAGGAAACTGTCTGAGATAAGAAAGTCTCCTGCTTCAGGTAACTAGTTGTTTTAGTCTAGTTATGTTGTTTAGTACATTAAGGGATGTGCAATGTGTTTATATTATATTGTTACTGTAAATATATAGTAGATGGTAGTAAATAATGTGTAATCTTGTTTACTTATTCTGTGAGTGTGGCTACTCGTGTCTCTGAGGTTTTAATTGTTAAAATTTTAAAACAGTTGCCTCATCTTTTCCCGACCATGGCGTGATGTTGTCCTCTTACGTCCTCCTGTGTTTGCTCAGTGCAGACCAGTGCTGGTAAAGAGGACCCGGTGCACATTGCGTGGAGCTCCAGTGACAGTGAACAGTCCGACGATGAGACCCAGGAGCAGCAACAACCTCCTCAGAGACCATCAGGGAGACCCACGGCTCCCCTTCAGTCCTACACCAGAGCGCTGCGCATGCTCCGCACTGAACGAGGTACACTGAGTCTGTTGTGACTTGCTGAGTCGTGGCTGGAACATGTTAGATTGTTCTAACTGTGCACTTCAGCTTTTCATGAGCTGACGTTTGTTTTGTCTCAGACATCACAATTCAAATCATGAGACTTAAACACAGTTAAGTGTGACAACAGTTCACTCTTCTTGTCTGAGAGTGGAAACTATCTTCTTATTTTACTCTGCAAGAAAGTGAATAAGTGTTTCATAAAAGGTTGAATTATTACTCTTTTGGAGTGACTGGTATTTTTCAGCCTGGACCCTATTTCTCCATGTTTTTGTGTCGGAAGTGACTATACGGGGGTGAGAGTGCTGCAGCTGCTAAACAGACTGAAATGACAATCAGTGGCTCAGATTGTTATTGTAAGTGTCTCTCTACATTATTGAAAGAACCCGACTGGGAAATAAAACCTTTTTCTTTAGCTTCGTTCGTCTTTTTTTGCTCGGACAAATCTCGTTCTGAAATGTGGCGTCACGTCAGCATTGTGGAAATCATCTGAAAGTTCAACCATGACACTGAAAAGCTTTGAAGGTGGCTCTGAGCTATGTTTTTCTGTACTCTAACCCAACAAACTGACTACAGCAGCCCTCAGACTAGTTTCATGTCTCTGTAAGGTCCTTTCCATAATGTTGACACTTGAAATAACAATCAAAAACGATATTCTGAGCCTTTTAATGGCAAAGAAAACAACTTTTATTGAGGTTGAGGAGTTGGCGCAAGCGATTAAATTGTGTCTCCCTCAATTCCTGACCAATTAAAAAAATTATTATCCCCAAAAATGTAGTCCAGGTTGAAAAATACCAAAGTTACTCTTTAAGTTAAGGACCTGTGGTCACTGCTGTGAGAAAAAGCTAGTCAGTGGAACTCAAGTTGAGGTGATTGTTTTCATGTATTGATTTCTTTTCTTTCTGTCTTTCTTTAGAAGACCTTCCTGCTATCGACACAGACAGCGATCTGGATGAATGTGAGGAAGATGCTGAAGAGGACAGCGGGCAACAAATCTCTGACTGTGAATCAGAGTCCTTTGATGAGAAACAAGAAGATCTGTCTCTTCAACCTACAGATGTGAGTGACCTCATTCTGATACGTTCTGTTTCCTCCACGAACTGCATCCGACGCGCTCATTTTCTCACGGTTCATGTGTTGTAATGAACACTAGATGGCGCCACACAACCACTTAACACTCCATAACTCCAGTGTGTTTCTAATTAATAGTGTTCGGTTGACTGCCAGTGCATGCAGTTGTCTTAGAAGTATTGCCGTAAGTGTCAGTACTTTTCCGAGAGTCCAGTGAGACACCAGATGATTGTCTTCTCACTGAGATGAGCTTTACCTTCAGTTTTGGCCTTACATGAATGTATACCTCTCTGCATAATTCAAAATAATACTCGTGTTAATATGTTTTTTAAGTCTTCACATCAGCGTCGTTTTTACTCGGTTTCGTTATTATTTGATGGTATGTTTAGCCAACGCACCACTAGGTGGAGCTTTGCATGTCCTGAAAGAGCCCGTCAGGCTCAAACCAGCAAAACTCCAGTTTTAGTTCATAATCCAATCTGTCAAAGTTCACAAGCTGAGGCAGCAATAAAGCCCTGACTGTGTGTGGAGGGAGAAGCTGCCTCTTATCCACAAGCACATGTTAAATAATCAGACAATAGATGCTTTTTATCCTCTGAAACGCTGATGTGTAAAGAATTGAATCATTTCAATATCGTTATTCATGGGAACCAAAACACAGAAATGCAGAAATGCCAAATATTTGATTGTTCCAGCGACTTAAATCTTGGGATTTACTGCATTTTGTGTTACGTTACAGTGATTTAAAACTCTTTTTCAATGATGTCAGCTTGGGCTCTGCCTCCATTTTTCCCTGCTCACTGAATATGAACGGGAATCAAAGTAAACAGCAGATTAATCTATAAAGAAAACAACCCTGAGAAACACCGGGTAATATGATGCATGCGCTGTGGTTTACTGAACACACTTGTCATGTTTCTAGTGTTATCATAGCAGTCCATCTGTCGTGGGCCCTCCTGTGTGCCGAGGAGACTTTGACTCCTTCAGGATCAGTGTTTGTTGAAGGCAGAGCCGGCATTTACGGCATGTACAAGGAGTGGTGAAGGTGTTAAGAGCGCACACAGCGCTTTAATAGTTGTAGCACACGCCTACATCATGTATTTGACCTGCTAGACGCGGCCACAGTACTGTGGCGATGCGGTCTTTGTCGGTAGCGATTTTGGGAAGCGTTCCCTGAACAGGATGGTGATGATTGAAGCCGGTAATCGATAGAATCGGCACAGCGTTTGTACAATAATGTGCCGGCCAATTGACAAACTCAAGGTGCAGTTAAGTCACAAGTATCTTGAGTTTTTTTGCAGGCTGTGTGTCGAGAGGAAGCAGATTAACATCCCCCCCACAGACCCAGCTACTTCCTCCTGTCACAGTTTAATTTGCTGCTATCAGCTCTCTGGGGTCAAACCAGACTTCAGATCACCTCACTGGAGGCTTGTGGTCGAGGCCTCCTAGAAAGACAGAAGTAGGTCCTCGTTTTTCAAATGTGGTTGTACTGAAATGTCTCTATGTTGTTGTTTTTTGACTGTGCACATTCAGTAATGGGAAGAACATTTGGGTATCTAGCTTTTTTTCCTTTTTTTATTTTGGAAAAGCATTAATTTTTACAACATTTTGCACATTATTAGTATTACTGCGAGTAGGTTCTCATAGCGTTGTGCACACATTAAACCAAAAACGTTTTGCAGAACGTTCGATAACTATTTTACTTCCTGTTTCCTCACGTTTTTCCTGTTCAGAGGTTTTCTTATAATAACTTTAATTATTTACAATTGGACCAGGATGCTTTCACCTTCTAGATTTTATAAAAAAGAAACAAAAGGGTAATTGGCATTCTTTTTTAAATAACGTTTCAGTACAAAATTTGGTCATTTTTATGCAATTACAGCAGCAAAAAATACCAATTTGAATTTCCTCGCTGCCCGGAAAGCTTGCTTACACACTGCCACTTTTAAATCTGAACCGGATCTAACAGGATACAGAAGAGACCATCCCAGTCCAAGTCAAAGTTTGTAGCTCCACATAAATGTTCGGCTGACTCACTCCACGTATGTCTGCCAGATTCCTCTGTTATTGTACTAGCGCTGAGAGTGGATAGGCGGAGCTGTGAGGGCGGTTTTTGCATCTCAAGGCCGCTTCCCAGATGAAGCGTGTCCCGGTCCTCTGACAACAGCCGCTTGAAAAAAAGGGTCAAGAACCTCGACCGCATCGGGGCTCTTTGCTTGATCAGGGCCGTGTCAACAGAGCACCGCTATAAACATATGTTTTACTACTGTTTGTTCAGGGAAACATGCGAGTAGTGAGGCCGCAGCAGAGCTCTGTGTACTTACAATGCTTCTCGGTGCCGGGTGAAAACATTTTTGAGCGGCGGCCAGGAACATAGTGTTCCTTTCTCTCCGTAGCTGGTTGGAGTGTGACGTCTGCTGGCACGGCGCCCAGCAGGGCCAAGTTGATTCAAATGAGACAGCACGTTGGAGCCCGGTATGCTGGTCTTGTCTGCACATGACAGGAACTCGGGTTTCTCCCGTGAAGTTTTCCATGAGAACCGAGTCCCTCAGGTGTAGTGAGCAGCTATGCAGCAAGAAAGAAAAAAAGCTTCAAGCCCTCACTTGTGAACGTATCAGCCTGACAGTGTAGTATTGTACCATATCCCCACCCACTGTATGATTGAATTTATTAATTTAATCTTTAATGACTCATTATGAATTTACCGAAGGCTGAGGCCTTTTTTAAATATCTAATATCCTTTTAATATGAAGAGGTAATTTATCTGCAATTTAATACTGTAAGATGTTCAAATTAACTCAAGCGTGACATGTTTCAAAATTGGGTCAAATAATAGTTTTTTTTAAGGTAAATGAATAAATAATCGTGCCTCTATCGCTAGATGACAGAGCTGGAGATCTCCGGCTACGTGTCTGACGGCGAGGACGTTGACGTCACGACGACGTCGAGCCGACCGGACTCTCCTCCCCAAACTGCCGATGGCAGCAAGAGGTCAGTGAGCGACTGGGTCAGATCTGCTCAGGCGATGCTGCAGACGCCTCAGAAGCCGCAGTCGGCGAGGCAGTCCAAGACTCCAGAGGACTCCGCCAAGAAGAGAAGGAAATTTCAAAGGTTTGAATGTTGTTCTTGTTTTGAAAAAGCCACATTAGGTGCGCACCAATTCAGCTCTTTGTACCGTGAATCTGAATCTGATATCTGAACTATCTGCTGATTCCCAATCCGATAATTGTTTTCCCTTACCCCTCCCCCCTTTATTTATTCTGCTGACTACAGTGTGTGTGTAATATCCTGCAACATGATGAAGTGTCAGCAGCTCGCTATAAATGAATGAATGATCGCAGAAACACAGAATTTTGACATTAATGTGGGTCTTGTTTAGCTGATAGCAGCTTAAGTATTGGCTGATCTGGTAGATCTGATTAGAACAATCGTCCCTACCTCACGCTATTTTATATATATGTGTGTATATGAAGTGTATTGCCTCATATTAAGAGCACAGAAAGTAACGAGACGTATTGCTCGCTGCCAGACGTCAATGTTTCCACGGCAGGGCGGTGATGAAAGGGACACCTGGTGTCACAATGTGGGTGCTAAATGTCACCGCCATCTCCAAGCCCACCGAATCTGACAGATGGCTATCTGTAGCCGTCGACAGCTTGCTGTTGTGCATCAGAAAATCAAATTTCTTTTGAGATAAACAATTCTGCACAAGCTTTTGTTTGAACGCCACGTGAGTTCATCAAGCAACATCCTCTATTGTCTGTTTGTTTGCTCGTACAGTGGAGGTCTCGCTGAGAGGCTGAATCGACTCCAGTGCAGACAGCGGTCAGCCGTCAGCTTCTGGAGGCACCAGTCCATCTCTGACACCTCAACAACAACAACAACAACAACAGGTGATTAACACAAACCTAACGTGTTCTCCACGGTTACACCGCACACATTCGCCTCTGAATCACCATTCACATTTAACAATGAACTTTGATTTGCGAGTGGGACGAAGCCCGCCTCTCAGCAGTGTGATCGTATGGAGGGGCTGATCGCTGTGGCCCTGAACCGTGAACTCGGTATGTAGGTGACAGGAAACTGCTTGCCTGGTTCCTTTTTTTTTTTTCTTCCTTTTTGCGGTGTAACCAAACCACTTCTGTTCTCTCGTTGTGAAGTGTGTCCTTATAATAGGACACAAGCAGCAGCTTACAGGTGACGGTTGATTGTGGAAAAAAACACCCACCTGATGCAACGTAGCGTTCGCGGTCAGTCGATGGGTTTATTAGCGTAAAGAGTTAAAGTGTGGAGGTTTATGTTTTCTACAATGATGGCTAGCTCTGTTCATGTCGAGTTCTCAAACCTTTCAAGTCAGATGTCCTGAGTGCATAGTTAAACTTTTTCAGCAGAGTTTGTGTATTATTTGTTTGTCTCACTGCGTGGTAAATGAAACAATACTCTTACCACATCATCATGCTGTTACATGACACCTGTTTATATTTGTTGCCGTAATTTTCTTAGCGTGTTATGTAACACAGGCCGCAGGAGGACTCGAGGGCGATCTCAGGTTTGGCCGACTGCCTGCGGTTATTCGGATGATTTAGTAACCTGGGACCTAAACGCACAGAGCACAAATGAAGAGCTTCGATTTCATGTTTGGACAAATGCATGCTAAGACGTAATCGCTCTCTAGCGATCCCTTTTTGTTAAGAGTTTCTTATTGTATTAAAATTCCCCCTCCGGACACTTTCGGGGACTGTTGACGCACGTAGACGCTGAGCTGCAGCGACTGTGAGCGCTCCATGCTGCAGTTTTCACATTTGAATGCAATCAACTTTACACACAGAAATGTGCACGCAGCCAAGTCGCTGTCTTATCGCTGTTTGATATACAGCTTCAGGGCATTGTCTCCATTTGCTTTTCTTAATTATATCTGTCGACTGTATTGCTTGGGCCAAAAGAAGCAAAGTCAGCTCCATAGTGAAATTCCAAACATTTGCACACTCACCCAGTGGGATTGGCTGCGTTTCGTGTCCAGCTCGGGCTGAGTCAGTCACAGCATCACTGTGATGCGGTGCGAACTGCTCTGATGGTAAAAGAGAATTACTCTCATAGCGCATAATGAGTCCCATGGAGAGCGAGAGTCCGTGAGAGCATGAGTACACTTTAGCGTACGTACACTGAAACATGCACACACACTCAACATCTGTGTTGTTGTTGATCTGCTCTCCAGTGGACAGGCCTGGCGTGCTGTTGCTGGAGGTGCTGGAGGTTCAGGAGGAGTGCAGCGTGCAACTGGCGCACTGCGAGCACCGCCCGCCTCCCGGAGAGGGCCACCAGCACAGAAAGCCTCTCTCTGAGGGACCAGCTCGTGTGCTGGTGTTGTTCAACAGAGAGACCGCGGCCCAGCTGATCCCTGCACCCAGAGACATCGTGCACATATACCCGCCATGGTAAGAGGATGCAGTTGATGTTTTAAAGCCCCCCCCCCCCCCCCCTCCACTCTTTTTGTCCCTTTACCTGGGTGTTTGACCCTCACTGTGCAAAATAATGTGTGTGCAGAGTTCAAAGGAAAGCTTCTCTGTGCTCACCTTAAATCTGAGTTTAACACGTGAACATATGAGCGGGGTTTCATGACATCACAACGAGTTTGGAGCCAATGCTGTGTCCAGTATGCAACTTACAAAAGTGTAATGAGGAAACTCAAAACCTCCTGTGGACATACGTTGAGACTGGACTTTTCAGTGAAACAGAAAAGACATGTTGTTGTGCAGTGAGTCAAAAGGAGTAGATGTCATTTTACAATATCTTTAGTTGTTAACTGACACTTTTTGTGGGAGAAACATGTCTTTTCACATGTCTTAAAATGGGTCCTCAGGGGGTGTTTAAATGAAAATCTCATTTTGCTGCAGTTCTATTTGAATATTTGGGGCTGCGGGGTAGTTAGCGGGGTCTGAAAGTGACAGCCGTTAAGCACCAGCTGCAGAAGACTTTGACTGGGAGGTAAAGTAATCAGGACCATTTGTCACCTTCGGGGGTTCTCCTGCTTTTTAAGATGAATTGCAAGCTGTTTAAAGAATTGGTGTCACCAAATTATATGAGTTTCGCTTGAACCAATGACGGACAAAATTCCTCAGTAATGAATCAATTATCAAAATAGCTTTGGATGAATTTTCATGTCGGTTGGTGTTTTGGCGATAATAAGAATATATAAATGTAACTATATGGTTTCAAATAGAGCTGACGACGGGAGGAAGACCCAAATCTGTGAAAAATGAATATTCTACTGATCAGTGTTTAACTTTTTCTTGCACTTCCCTGTTTTTGATTTTTAACGGCATCATGTCCTACCAGGCGTTCAAAAAACTACACAAAAAAGACACGGTTACACAATTCAAGACTGACTGCAGGACAAAGAGTAACATGACCTCATGAGATAATGCTGAGGAGGCATTCTGATCGACAGAATACAACACATTAAAGCATTGAAAAAAACCTTTTCTTTTGGGTTTTAAGTATGAAAATGTGCTGCTCTCAGCTCACAATAGTAGGCAGCAAAGGCCCAGATGTGAAGGCAGGGCGGAGAGGCTAGGAGGGGTAGTGTGCGTGTGTTTTTAGGATTGTTTTGGAGCTGGAGCGAGGCAGCAGTTGACTCCAGCTGTTGGGAGTTTAGGTTGAGTGTACTCTGGAATATCCAGGCTGGTGGAAGCGTAGGGGCCTCCTCAGTGCTCTGACGTCACGAACAGCTCCAGGGAATGCTTCACATTCCTCTTCCTGGCAGTAGTTAGGTCATTTCCAGCAAGCCGGGGAAAAAAAACACAGTGGGATTATTTTCTGGAGCAGAGAGTGGAGGGAGCCAAAGGAATGAGATTGAAAACACATGGTGGCTTGAAAGTACCTCTGGCTTTAGCACCTCTCCTTTCCTGTTGTATTTCATTCCTGAAATCACCAGGAGGAGTAGAGCCCCCAGCAAACTCTCCCATTTACTCTTTCAAAGAATCAGTTCTCCTCTGAACAAGCATCCTCAAATCCTCCTTTGTTAGTGTAAACCACTTCCAGCAGTTACAGCATTTGGTCTACATTTTAAATCAATCAGTATAAAAAAAAAAATCCCTAAATCATAACCAATAAAAGTTGATGTCATGCTTCATATTCTCTGAAGAGATATTCACTTGTCCAACTCTTAAAGTGACAGGACAGGCTGAAGTGGAAAAACCCGGAATTTAGCACATCAGAGTGTCTGATGAAGTCCTCCAATCGGTTTCCTGTGTGACACTCGGCAGGGGTGAACTTCCTGCAGTGAGTAGGTTGGCTCCTCCCACCTGCCACGCCTTGCTGCGAGTGGGCCGTGGCCTGAGCGGAAATACCTGCAGGGATTGTTCACCGTGACGCCAGCAGCCGGGGCCGCTCCTTAACTCGGCTACCTGTCTGATGATGATACCGGCTGCTCACTCACCTGTTCACAATGGGGTCACGCTTCCTGTTCACACGTTGTACCTGTTCTCCTGAACAGGACGTTCCGCTCTGGCTCTGGCTGACTTAACAGACCTCTGATCAGATGTTGGACTGATAAGAGTTGTATCCGACATATCTGTGATTATGCAGATTCGTCAAGTATTTGTTAAATCAGGACAGCAAAATGAAGAAGTAAGACGGCAATAAAAACAAGATTAGTGAAGCTTAAACCCAAGATTAGACAGTTAACGAAAGGATTGTGGCTAAGTGGATAGCAGGGCTGTCTTTTAATCAGAGGGTCGGCGGTTCGAGCTCCGGCTCCACGCATGTCGATGTAGATGTGTCCATGAGCAAGACACTTAACTCCAAAATTGCTCCCGTAGCTGTGCCTACGGTGTAGAAATGTGATAGACTCTGAATTGTAAGTCGCTTTGGTCGCTTTTTTGCCTCCAGGCAAGTGAAGAAGAGTTTGGTTAAGTGACCTGCAGTCGATGAGCAGCGGACGACACGCTCAACTGAAGTAGAGCTCTTAAAAAGCGCCGACCGCTGACCTGAGCGCCGTCGCTTGATTATTCAAAGTTTATTCATATTGAACGTATCACTTGTCCAAGTTGCACGTCCTTGGGTCACAGACCAAGTGTGAAGTGGATCAGATGAACACACACACACACACACACACACACACACACACACATATTAGTCTTGCTTGACTGCACATAATCCATTGGAGGAAAACAGTGCCATGAAGAGTTCAATGCAGTCAAGGACAAACAAAAACCTGCAAAATAAATACTACCTTGGTAAAGATAAACTCATCTTTTAAATGTTTTATTTAGTTGATTTAACTCTACTATGAGTGACGTACAGATGTTTTTTCCCATTTTAATCAATGAGGACGGACTGAATATTAGTTCCCGTCGGTCTAATGCAATACAATTCAACAGAACTACAACCTCTAAAAAAACACCTAAATAAAGACAGAAACTGAACTTCATAACTTTCAAAAAGTTTGCATTAGACTACATTTCGTTTCAGCTCGGTCCACCCAACATCGTCAACTCAGTGTATACCGAGTGTAAATAATAATCACATCCAAACAAATGGTTTTTTTCCGCTTTATCTTTGTTTTTTATTTCTCTGGTTCACCGAGACGAGTCGCGACATGTTCAGCACTTCCAGTCACTCGGTGATCTTGGCTGTGAGTCAGTTATAAGCCATCATCACGCCATTATCCGTCTCACATGTGGAAGAAATTAAGCCATAACTCAAACTTACTCTAAACAACGCGCCATATAATTATCTATCATTCAGGTTGTTTTATTCCCAGGCTCGGTGCCACTCAGGTGTGTGTGTGTGTTATTTACCTCGATGAGTTGGAACACTTGACCGGAAATGTTGTTGTTGGGTTTTATGGAGATGTTCCGCCTCTCCTTCTTGGCACAAACGGTGAAATCTAAGCTGGTAAACGGGGTGGAATTAAACACGAGAGCACTTCAGGTCACATTTACGCAGTCTGGTCGTGACATTCGTTGAAGTATTTCTTTCCGAGCGTGATGTCACATTTGGAAAGTGTTTTCATCGAGCTGCGAGGTGTTGCCTTTTAAGAGCCTCACTTCTATGGAAAATGTATCTTTTCACCTCCAGTAAAAGAGGACGAAAAGCATCTGTTGTGTGTTTTCTCTTTGCCTCGGAGAACGTTTATTTGATCTTGTGCTCCGTGCTGGGTGGTACCTCGTGAAGGAGCCTGTGGAGGTGGTGGGTAGCTTATCTGAGTTTGACATTCAGTCTCGAGCTCTCAGCCCCCCCCCCCCCCCCACGTTTGTGCAATAATCTACTCCATTTAATGTACTTTAAAATCTCAGTCTTTACATCTGTTATCAACGCAATCACAACACAAACGGTTTATCATTGCCCAACGCCTTAACTATGTTTAATTTCATGGTGAATTCAAGGTCTCAAACTATCTCTTTGCAGGCAAAGTCTTTCTATCGAAGGCTTCCGCTGTGATATTATTCTGAACACACACTTCAGCCAGAAAGTCTACTCTGCAAACAAACTATCCAGCGTGTCGGCTCCTAGAGGCCTGCTCTCAGCCGAAAGATGCAACCCGTGTTCTTTGTGTCAGACGTTTGGACTACTGGAGGAATGCAGGACCACAGCGGAGAGCGATGCCAAACAAGTACGAATGCTTTGATGTCACAATCGCGTGCCTCACATTTAGTTCTCAATTCAACATGTACTGTATGTAGTAAGTTATAGGTCATGTTAGACACCAAAGTAACTTTTAATAACCCTCGTACTACGGGAAGTCTGTAACTAACTCTCAGCTGCTAGCACAGATGTCATCAGGTCAATGAGCTTCAGTACTAAAGGTTCTACTCAGGTTTACTTGTTTATGTGCCAATGATGACACATGAGGAGGCTTGTGTCAACAGTCTTCATAAAAACAACATTTCACAACATGTTTTTACAGATTAATAAATAGTGTCTGTGGTGCATGCAGTCTTTCAAAGGATATAAGTTTAATAAGTTTACATGCATGTTTGATTTCTTAAATGTGAATCTGTGTTTGCTTTGAACACATGCAAATATATGTTGGCAGCGATTGAGTGACTAAGTAACTTCTGAAAGATGTGGCACCATCGGCCACGCCCTCCTTTTCAAAGCAGATTTCTAATGCAGTGTAAAGAAGAGGCGATTGTTATTGTTAGCACTGCTCACCACCATGATGTTTGATCACCACAAATTATACACAAATGACTGTGGCGTGAAGTGAAATGACCACATGTTGCATAAACGGAGCATAGGGCTGCAACAAAACATTACTTTTATTATAAGAAAGATTCATCGTTGGGTCTTTATCACATCAGAAAATAGTGTCACTGATTTACAAATCCAAGTTAACATCTTGAAAGGTATTGTTTTGTCCAATCAACAGTCCGTAACTTTTATTAGACTGGTGCAATTCATATTTAATAAGCTGAAACAGGCATTTTTCCTTAAAAATCCCAATACTTGCTGGTTAGTTTTCTGCCAATCAACTAAATGATAACTATCGAACCAATGCCGCCCTAAGGTGTAATTTCCTCTTCTCCTCAGGTTGCTGCCTCTGGCTCGCTCACTTCAGGAGTTTTAGCGAGACATTGCGTTTCTCTCCTGGAAGCTATCGAGGGGCTCGGCCAGGCTGGTTCTGTGGGGCAGGACGTGGAGGTGGTGGTCCAGAGAGTTTACTCCATCCCTGTGCCTCACTGCTCTCCCGTGTCCATCCTCAAGCCCAGACTTCCCTCAAGGTCCTCCTCAGCTCCTCCTCCTCCTCCTCCAGAAAAAGGCAAAACCAGGTACTGTTGGACCAGTGGATAATTAGCGGCCAAGTGAGGCTTTTAGTTTGTCACTTGATGCCAAAAGAGAATCACATTTTATCGTCTGTGTATGCTTCACTCCCACAGTATAAATTACGTTTTTTGTAAAAAGAAAAAAGAATGGCATGCTGGTTTCCTCGGTCTCAGCCTTGCATGCTTCTCCTTGGTGGCACAATGTGTCTTAAGTGATCGAGATATGGTTCACAGCGCAGCAGGCCCCACAAAGCGCTCGCACTGTCTCCAGCCATATGGCATTGCTTGACAAAGGACACAAACATTTCTTAATTGAATCCAGCCCCTTTTTGAGTAGCTCTGTCCAATTCTCGGGAAAGACAGCGTGATGCGTTTCAGAATTCCGTGCGCCAGCAAGCCGGAGTTGAATTGGTGCCCATTTGTTCTCCGCTGGGTGTAACAGGTTTGCAACAGCTTTTATTACCTTCATGCTATGAAGAAAACCACAAGTATATTTTATGTGGGGTGTAAAAGTGTCACGCCGCTCAGTCTTAGCAGTACAGAAACGGTTCAGTTGAGTGGAATGGTTTGTTTTAGCTTTGGTTACCTTATCTGAAGGTGGAGCCTAAACATTATAATAATATTCGTTGGAAATAAATAAATCGTAGAGCTTGAGGGATTACATGATTAACGAGTAGTCGATTTTCAGAAAACGAGTTGCCGATTTTGAACTATTTTGATAATTGCGGTTCCAACCTCTCAAATGTGCGGATTTGAGGCTGTTCTTCGTCATACATGATAGTTAACGGAATATGTCTTGGGTTTTGACTGTTGGTCGGACACAATAAGACATTTGAAGACATCAACTTGGGCTGTAGAAAATTGTAGTCGGCATTTTATACCATTTGATTAATCGGTTAATCCAGAGTTCAATATTCACTCTCTTTTAGCTCTGTTTTTGTTCTCCACCACCTCCGGCTAAATGCTGCATTGTGTTTGCTGTTTGGTTAGAATGACCACACATCCAAACCTCCAAACCAGGACCCTTAAGTGTACCACCTTTGAGGTGCTTATGCACGCACCATAGGCATGCTATCATTTATTACTGGCCTTAAGAAGACCGACTTTATTGAAAACTGGGACATTTTTAGTGTTTTTCAGATATTTGTCGAGATTCTGGACACCCAGTTTGAAACTGGGACGCTGCCACTACGTCTGATCACCGTATGTTTGATTCTTTACCGGACCTTTTTTCAGCAACATCTGCCTGATGTGATTGGAAATGTTGATGGTGAGATGTTGTGGGCTGTAAAACCAAAACAATAAGCTGAAAGACACTAAAACGCTCCAGAGTATAGTACAGCAGAGTCGTGTGTTGATCCACAGTGGGTTTGTCACTACCTGTGACTAATTTTCCATCACGTTATTTTTCCTATTGTTGATACAAAGATATTGACTTCTGACTACAGCTTTAAGTCTTATTTCAATGATACAAGCGATATTTCTGTCCAGTGAGATGGAGTCCGATCACCTTTCTACAAAACAGTTTAACTCATATTAAAACGACTTGCAGTGCGAGCTCTTCAAAGCTCCCCGTGTTATTGAAATGAGATTTACTCGAGTGGTCTTATTATTATTCCTGACTCAGTGAACGAACTATTTGAATCAAATCCAGCGAGCGTGATCTGGCGTTGCCTGGCCCTCCCCGGGCTTGTTGTTGTAGTTTTTTGCTGAGTAATAAAAAAGAAGCTTTGGTTCCTCTGAGTGGAGCGAGGGGCACTCTGTGTTGAAAGGAGAGCCCCAGTCAGCTGACAGGCCAACTGACTAAACGGCTGTAATATGACACCCGCTCCTGCCATGCTGCTTCTGCTGGCTGGTAAACAAACGCCGCCCTCTGACCGGAAGTGCTCCTTCACTGTCCTCCCCGTTCCTCTCATTACTCAACCAGATCCATCAGGCTCGGCTTGAAGTGAAAGGATGGAGGTTAGGAGGCGACCACGAGGGCCTCCATTCAAAATATGTGGATGACTCTTCAATCCCTGCATCTGGGAAGTTACATTTTGAATCACAAGACGTTCTTTTTTTTTTTTTTTTTTTTTTTTTTATGTGTTACTATAATCCAATAAGTTGTTCAAGTACACTTTCATACCTCTTTATACGAGGTTTGAACAACAACTTCTTGGTATATTTTACTGCTTGTAGTACTTTTCCAGGACGTAGTGGGTCGTTTAGTGCCCCATTCTGTATAAAGACGAGGACAGTGTGTACCCCTCGTGTTGTGTCCCCAGCCTCTATGACTCACTCCCCTGGTCAGCATGCTTATTTGATCCTTTTGTTGTTTAGCCTCTATGTTAACACGCACACACACACACACACACACACACACACACGGGAGGGAGGCCAGTGTGATATTTATGCCTGAAGAAGACGTTAAGTTCCCGTAAATCCAGAATAGAATAAACAAAAAGATTAACTGTTTGCAGGATGAGAGGAGAGTTCTTTCTTTCTTTTTTCTTCTCTCTGTGGAGAAGGAACACAATGTGCTGCAAGGATCCTGTTACAACCGTGTTTATCACTCCGCCTGCACTGATTCGTGGACAACACATAGGAAGGAATCCCGCCTGTCCGCCCCCCCACCAATGAGGCCTCTCTGCTGTGTTCTTAATGCGTGGGTCACTTACTTGTGCGTTGCCAAGTAATGTGCATGTGCACACAGCGTGTCTGTGTGTGTGCGTGTGCGTGTGTTTTCACAGGCTCCGTGAATCGTAGTTCCTGGAAGAAAACCGTAGTTGCTGAGAATTGTGTGAGAGCTCACAATAACAGATTCCTGAAAACTGCCTGAAAAGGAAAGCTGGCCAATGACACAGAGGCTTTCTCGTGGAGTGAGTGGCGACTGTTTGAAGAAGTCGGGCTGTTAACGGGCAAAAGGAGGGACAGAGTGGGGAGGCGGTTGTTTATGTCAAGCTGGCACCACTAAGAGTCCCATCTTGTTTGTTTTCTGTCTGTCAAGTGTCATATCAGGTTTTCATGTGAAGTTTTTACAAGTTCAGACAAGTAGTCCATCCTTGTGCTACTTTATAGTTTTACTCCACTACATTTCAGAGGCAAATACTGTGTTTTTTACTGCACTACATTCATTTGACAAAATTACTTTGCAGATTACAATTATTAATACATAACAAATCAACTAATAAATGATGAGGTATTATTATGGATTAGGTTACCCAGCAGTATACAAAGTACTTTAAATTAGCTCCACCCATACCAGCTGATTATAATATTATGTATATTATTCTGGAAATGGCCATTCTGCCCTTTTGACTGCTTATACTTTTGGTACTATAATTGATAATCTTACAACTGGTCACAATAGAACACCACGACCAAATTAATGAAGGATTTACCTAAATTTAAAAATAGAATCTAACCTCACCTGCAGCAGATCATTGAGTTGTTATAATTATGGTCAGGGCTGGTTGCTGCTGTTGGAGTGACACGACAACTGAAGCAGCTGCACTCAGCGTCATATTGTTTGATTTTATAACATGAAAGTTTTATGTGCCTGTATTTATCGTATACTTCTGGTGTTTTATGGCCTATAGTTTTGTTATTGTCAACAAATCGCATGAACAACAAACCCACAAAGAACTGATCCTGCTCACAAATACTCCCCTGTAGCCAAAGCCTGATATATATTGTGTTCCTCTGTACACTAATCATACCCAAACTTTCCTCCTTTGTTGTCCAAAAACGATTACCAACACATCAATGAGCCTCACGGTTGATCTATTAAACACCATCGCGTTGTTGTCAGTACTCACTAGAACACCTAATGTGTATTAATCTGCAGCTGAACATAGTTAAAAACAATCGTTCCCAGATGTTTTAAGGAACTCTTAAAGCCTTTTAAGAACAATCTAACTATGTTTTTATGGAACACTTTTAAAGATTAACATCTTCAGTAGGAGTAGGAAACGGTGAGTTTTTGTTTCGCCAGCCTTATTTGTTAAGATATTGCATCCATTAAAGATTTATCCATTTGCATTAATAATCTTGATATACTGCAGGTTCCAAAAACGTTGGTTATTAATAAAGAGCTCCTAATTGGCTGGTGAAACGATTGGTCCAGAAACTGTTCAGTCAATTATCAGATAAAAAGACTTGCTGGCAGCTACTCAAATGTAGGTATTTGCTGCTTTCCTCTTTTTACATAATTTTTCACTTAAACATTTTATATACAAACCACTAAATCAAAAGTCAGATCAATAAATAATGAACACTAGTGTTGGTGGGAGCCTATTGGTTCCTTTTTTCATGACCGGGTTCATCGTAGGACAGAAGCACATTTTTCTCTCTAACTGTAGCAAATATTATTTTTGTGTTTCGAAAGAATGTGAACGTTTTTAGGGACTTGCTTTTGATCCTGAGGCATTTTCTTGTCAGACTTGACAAAGTGTCCAACATATTAACAAGGGATGTAGCTGTGTGCAGCTCCAAAAAAGATTCTTTGTCTCAGTATTTGCATTTTCCCAGATATAGCTCTGATTTTGGATTTTGAACAGAGCAAACAACTGAGAATAATCTTGGTGAAAACATTGGCCGACGCCACCAGAAGTCATTGCAGGAATGTTATTGAGATATCTATTTCCAGGTCTCTGAAAACAAACACAGACAGACCCCATGTTTACCAACAGAGGACGTTTATAGGCTTAATCAGGTGGTTGAAAACAGCCTCAAAACTTTCCAAATGTCTGCGATGTGCGCATGCATGCACATGCGTTATGGGCACGCTGACAGTCCTCCTCCTCCTCCTCCTCCCTGACTGTTGCTTGTCTAAGGGGATATGAACTCCACTGTTTACTCTCGGGGCTGGTACCGGGCCGTGTCTAGGCTTGACTGGCTGAGATACTGGAGCCTACAGCAGTTCCAGTTCCCCCCTCACTGGGAGCAGCAGAGTGCAGGAATACGAAGCAGCTCACTGGCTCACAACTTTGTGGGCCAAAGGTCTGTCCTGTCAGCAGCAGCCTGTCAAACCGGCCAGCAGCAGTAACACTTCCTTCCGAATATCAGAACTATCCCTTATTGTTGGTGTGTCACTCGTAATGTTTAATTGTGTTAATGGCTCGTAATTTTTCATACAACAAAGAAGGATCGCATTGTCTGATTTAAAAGACACATGTTGGGAGTTGTCAAAATCTGATTATTATAATAGTATCTTCAATGCAAGTACTTAGTTGATTCATTGGTATAGCCCAGTAGGACTGAAGCAGCAGAAATGTACTCTGCACACCAAGTATTGGCAAGTTCCCGAAAAATCCTTGAGTCAAGTGACAAAACTCAAAATCTCAATTTACTAGTTGGTTCCATTTGAGTTTGCCCAGTTGCTTTATTACGCTAAAAGTTTCAACTTTCAGTCATTCTGAGAATTTTTAGGGAGTTCTTGTTCATACTGGCGTAAAAGTTAAAGGGACAACTTCTTTAACTTCAAGAACTTGAAGCCGCAAATTCACAACGAATGGATCGCGGCTGCTGAAGGCCGCGTGAATTGCTCATCACTCGCAACTTCTATCTGCACCGTCTCACGGTGTGAGTCACCAAACATATTGCGTTCATGTTATTACAGCACGAACACGCCCATGAAGTTTTGCAGCCTTTTGCATTTGATTGCAATGATCCATGCGGATTAGTAGAAGAGTTGGCAGAACAATGAGAGAAAGATAAAGAGGAAAATAAGATGTTCAGATCTGCACGTAACGACAGCAGCTGATGGAAACACAAACGCAACATGTAGGTGTCCTAAGAAATACACTCTTGGAAAATCAATGTCATATCAAATCGTGTTTTTTAAATGCATAACGCTCGACTGCATAAATTTAAAGATGCCATGTGGAGCTTTTGACCACTAGTGGCGCTAAGGAGCAATGATTTTGCAAGTGTGCTCCAGTTTTGTTGTTATTGTGCGACGTCACACGTAATGACGACACACAGATCTACTGCTTGTTTCACAATATTCTGCTGATCAACAGTTGAAGATGGTAATGTGCAAAGAAGCATAGCAATACACCATGGATGTAAACAATACGCATATTGTGTCTTTTGGTGGGAGAATATAAACAAATGGTTTTGTACTCCCTAGGACACGTTTAACATGATTAGGAAGTATTCATAAGTGTATCAAACTAGTCTAATTCTGTCTTTCCCAGGCTCTGTGTGCTCGTCCAGGACAGCTACGGGATGTTCAGCGTGGTCCAGCTCCACTTCCTGCCCCGCCAGGACGACCTCCACCAGTACTGCCACAAGTGGCGGGGCAGGACCTGCCTGCTGAGAGGCATTAAAGTGGTGCAGCGGGTCACTCGAGAAAGGTGAGACCCACGCATTCTACCCGCGCCCTCAAACCCGGGGTAGATTTTCAACTGACTTCAACTTCAACCCGAGACCAACACCAATCTGCAATATGGATTTCTGCTCTGTGTCAGGTTATCTAATCTCGCTCCTGAGCCATCTGGAACAACAACCCCGGGTCAATGCCTCAGGGCCTTGTGCTATAAAGGCACTGAGCCTCAAGCTCAACCATTGTCTAATGTGTGAATCTCCAGTAGTTTATCTTTATGCTTCTGAAACGCCAATGCCCACATTTGCGATAGGATGACAGTTTAATGTTGTGCTGCTCGTATGAACCCGACTACCCTGTCCTACCGGCGGTGCAACTGTGTTTACATGTAAAGTGATACCGAGGTGCACGGCACGCTCTGTGTCCCTCGTGAGTTTCCATAGTCAGGGTCCAAGATTAGCAGCAGTTAGAAGAATTGACATGGGAACATTTAGAGACCGGCTGGGGGTATGTTTACATCATCAGTATTTTCAGTGCCACCGCAGCCTATAATGTCTCTGGAGGTTTTCTGTGGTCGGCCCGTGATGGATGGGCCATCTCCACTGCTCACACATGGGCTATCGTACTAGCTCAAGCGGAAAAGCATGTTGGTCTGGTCGGGGTAAATAAGGCATTCATCCCCCCCCCCCCCCCCAGTTTCCTAGAACCAGTAAATATAGGGAAATCTAAGCCCATCACACAATGTAAACCGTGTGGGAATAGTTTGACATATTTTGGAATGCGCTTGTTTGCCTTTTTCCAAGAGGTAGATGAGAACATTGATACCACTCTCATGTCTGTATGGTAAACAAGAAGCTACAGCCAAGAGACCGTTAGCTTAGCATAAAGATTTGAAAGCATGGGAGTCAGTTATTCTGGCTGTGTCCAAAGTTAACACCACAACTTTTAATCTGACTTAAACAAGATACAACGTGAAAATGGGCGCGCTTGAGAGCAGATTTAGTTACTTTTGGTCAGAGCCGTGCTAGCAGTTTGCCCTGTTTCCAGTATTTATGTTAAGCTAACCAGCCTCTGGCTCAACTTAGAGTGGTGTCTTATCTTCTCATCTAAAAAAAAAAAAAAAAAAGAAGTGAGTAAGAGTAATTTAAGAAGTGAAACTACTTATTTGAGAGTATCATTCTTTTGAGGGGTGTATGGTTTGTAAACAAACAATCAGAGGCCGCCCTGGAACCTGTGTGAGCAGTGTGTCATGTCAATATTGCCCCGATGGTAAAGACGGTATTTTCACAGAAAGGTTACCTATTCTTGGATGTCTGTTGACCAAAGAGAAGGGAAAAAAAGAAAAGCCGTACTTGAAACGTACTCCAAACAAACACAGAAGGAAGCTCAGTGTGAAAATCAGAGTGAGTTGAATGCGTTCTGTTAGTTTGTCGTTACTCATCCTTGAGCAGGCCTCACTGGACTTGAATGGGCTGCAGAACCAGTTCCACACAAAGGAACCCTGTGATTACGGGCTGACTAACAGGTTGTTTAACCGCTGGCTGATATGACGGCACACACTTCATGGTTGAATTGCTAAACTTTGACCGGCCACCCTGAGCTCAACATGTTCTTCTGAGGGAAGAGACGGCGAATCAAAAGATTGGCGTGTCCTGTCATCGCTACTTACTTATTTATTAGTCCTTTTAGTGTGAGCTGGGCGGAAATGAGACGTCACAAAAGCACATCGAGTGCCTTCTAAATTCCATCTGTCATTACTGAGATTAACAATGAAAGAAGACAAACGTCACCAATTGAGCACCTAAAACTTTAACCGTTAAAACAATCACTTGTCATAGTTTTTCTAAACCTTGTTATTTTTGCACCACAATGATATTGTGATTTACATATAGGGTTGGACTGTTTTCCCACCCTTTTTTTTTTTGAGTGTGTGTGTGTGTGTGTGCTCTGCCAGCCCAAGCATGCTCTCTGCCAATTTGTTAGAACAAGCTCTGTCTTAACAGAGCTGCGTTTCAGTGGAAGTGAAACTGGCTGTTAAAGCTCTTTATCTTCCCGTTAAAGTCCCTTATTCACCAGTTTCTCCTGCTCCCACCCCCTCACACACACACACTCACACACACCCTTTTCAGTGCTTTACTCTTTTTTTCCTTCTCCATTTTTTTGTGTCTCACTCTCAGGAGCACCAGGCTTTTCAGCTTGATAGACAGTCTGTGGCCCCCAGTGATGCCTCTTAAAGATCATGGAAACACACCGAGTATGTGCAGTGTAAGTTTTCACCAGTCATGCACCCTCATCATGCCTCTGGTTTAGGGAATATATTCTCATTTTTATAATAGGAATTTGGGGCTGCAACTAATGATTGTTTTCATGATGAAGTCCTTGTTTGGTCCCTAAAACGTGTTGTCCGACCAAAACCACAGAAGATATTCAGCTGCAGCTCATCACACTTTCGAAGCAGGAACTACACAAATTATGGCATTTTGTCTTAACAAGGAAACTCCACACGGCACCTTGTATTTGCAATATAACAGAACTGCTATACCGTAATACTGAAACCATTGTTGCACACATCCAGATATGAACCAAATGAAAACTACGGTGGCCCTGAGAGCCTTAGGCTACATCCACACCACTACTTTTGCATTTTACACACACAACATGTATTTAGGAATCAGTATATTTTCTTGTTTTTTTTTATTATAGGGAAGTAGATCTGCAGGTGCGGCTCCGAGCTTCTGCTACCTGCTGTCTGGTCAGGAGAGCTCAGTGGAACCTGCTGAGGAGCAAACGGTGTCGCCGCTCTACCTCCCTCCCCCTAAACAAACCTTACAAGACATACTGCAGGTGAGCGTTTTCTCACACACACACACACACACACACGCGCATGCAGAACATTTTCTAGAATTTGCTGCAGACCGTGATGACTAATCTTTTTTATTTTCTTTTTTTCTTTTTTTTTCCCCCAGAGTGAGCGTCAAACCTGTCGCTGCAGTTTTGTCGCCACTGTTCTGTACAAGAGAAACATGCAGGTACTTTGGTTTTTTGTCTTATTCATGAAAAATACGGATTTGAATTTGACTTCGGAAGAACACGATGAACACGTGTGTGTGTGTGTCTTCTGGAGCTCCTCAGTCCTCCTCTTGAGATCATTTGAACCAACAAACTGATAAGACTGAGCGCTGACGTAGAGAGCAGTGTTCGTGTGTGTGTGTGTGTGTGTGTGTGTGTGTGTGTGTGTGTGTGTGTGTGTGTGTGTGTGTGTGTGTGTGTGTGTGTGTGTGTGTGTGTGTGTGTGTGTGTGTGTGTGTGTGTGTGTGTGTGTGTGTGTGTGTGTGTG